CCCTTGATGCGTTTGAGGCAGAAGGTGAGCAGCTCCTTGGACTCCAGCTCAGCGCGCACCCAGTGCTTTGGCGGCTGCAGGTAGCGGTTGCAGTCCTTGCAGAACAGGATGGTCACCTGGCGGGGCGTGGAATGTGTGCGTGTGTGTGTGTGTGTGCGCGAAGGGCAGAGTTGTGTGCATCTGTGCGTGAGGGCAAGTGCGAGCGAGCGGATGTGCATGGTTGCGTGCGTGCGTGCTCACGCGTGCATGTGTATCTGCATACATGCACGCATGCGTTCATGTGTATGGGTGGCCGGAGGCTGGTGTGGTCGACAGGTGGAGCCGGCGATAGCAGCCCAGGCGGGGCGCCAACATGCCAACAGGCTGCCCCATGAAAGCCGCACGCGTGCGTGCTGGCGTTGTGCACAGGCGCAAGTCCAAAAGAGTTTGCGCGGAACGGCCGTGCTTGGCGCGCCAGCTGTCGCTGGCCGCCGGCCGCGGTCGTAGCGTCGCGCAGCTGATCGCGCGCCGCGGCGGCACCCGAGCGCCCGCCATGCATGATCCTCGTGGCGCGCCGCAGCCGCCCTGGAGCTCACGACCACGCACCTGCTTCTGTATCCCCTCGGTGATGTCCACTTGGGAGCGGATGCAGTTAACGCACATGTTGGAGGGGTTCGGTGGGATGGCCGTGCCACAGAGGCAACACAGCCTGGCGGGGACAGCAGCGGGTCAGCGGCAGCGGCGGCAGTGTGAGCGAGGGCTGATGAAGGGGTGAGGTGAGGGGTTGCTGCTTTGCACACGTGAGCATGCATGCGCGATGAACAGGTGGGCATACGCACATCATGCTGTGGCGGGCGGCGCCGCAAAGGAAACGTGCACAAGGCCCCTGGCTTGCGGCCAGCGATGCGGGCAGCCGCCGCACGCGAGCGGCAGGCGCGCCTGGCTGCGGCTGCCGGGCGCCGGCCAGGTGCGCAGCGCCGTCCGCCGTGCGCAGCATGCGTGCGCAATAATGCATGCAGCAGCGCGCACACTCACACATGGCCTTGCGTCTGCTGCACCGCAAACACCGCCTGCGGGCCGCCGTCGTGGTGGTGCGGCGGCGCGCCGAACTGCATGGCTGCGGGGGCCCTGCCACGGGCGACCAGATGTCCAAAAAAAATATTTCGGAAAAATTCAAGATGAGTGCGACCACCGCCACAAGCGTGAAACGGTCCCCGAAGCGAGCAGAGTGATGACAACAAGATCGCTGCAGCGATATCACGCTTTAGGGAGAGCAAAATCAAAATTGGCCTCGAAGCGAATGAGGATTCTACCTCCTGCTGATGAAGAGGTTGTGGCAGGGATGCGGACGTCACCCGGGTGCCGCGCTTCTGCACAAAACTGCCGACTGGCTACTGTTCGCATGCAGGCAATTTTCAGATGCACACCAAACGTTTGTAGAGCCGGCGCGCACGCTGCTGCATTATTTTGCACGAGTCAGGCACGCACAGCGCCCAGATCGCCGTTGTGAGCTCGGCACTGTCCGCCCTCAATCTTTTGGCAATCTTAGCTATCTAATCAGCCGTTCTATGCGGCAGTCACCCACGTCAGACACCACGATGTTCTCGGCAGCGTCTTTCGCCAACGGGGCGGGGCATGGCACCCACACGCCATTGCCAAAGGTGCCTTCTAGCGAAGACTACGGCTCAGACCCTGAGGTGCGCCTTCCGAGGCTCCAGGATCAGGACGGGCCCGCGCGGGTTGTGCAAGCAGGCGTTCATTGCCACAGGATAGTACCCCGCCAAGTGCCCTCTTCGGCCCTCATTCGCGCAGGTCTGGGACTTAATTGTCGTTGGAGCCGGTGTAGCGGGCTCGGCGCTGGCGTTCGGGCAGGCAAAGGTGTGCGCGCGGCGGTGCCTCCACAGCTGGCACAGCGACATCGCGACAGGTGGCCTCGCCAAGCACGCGCCTGGGCCTTTGTCACCGCGCCTGCCCTGATCCCCATTCGCAATCGCGCTCCCTGCCACCACGGCCGTTCCGTTCGCGCGCGCTGCCGCTGCGCAACAACGCCCACTGGGCCCTGCCGCGATCTGCGCCCCCGCCGACGCAGGACGGCCGCCGCGTGCTGCTGCTGGAGCGGGACTTTAGCCAGCCCGACCGCATCGTCGGGGAGCTGCTGCAGCCGGGCGGCTACCTCATGCTCAAGCGCATGGGCCTGGAGGACTGCACTGATGGCATCGACAGCCAGAGGGTGAGCCGCGGCGTCAAGCATACGACAGGTCGCGTCGCTGGCAGTTGGCAGGGCAGCACGCGGCGGGAACGTCGCGCACGCGGGTGCCGCGGCTGGCGGTGGCCCTGCCAGTGGCGCTGCTCCGGGTGCAGGAGCTGGGCGGAAGGTCGTGTGCGGGCCGTCCCGCGCATCCTACCAGGACAGCTGGCGGCTGACGAGGCGCCTGCAGCGGCGCAGTCCGGACGGCGCCGGCGCCGCCTGCGGCGCCGCGGCCCCGCTGCCCCTGCTGCCACAAGGCTGCAGACAGCCTGCGCGCCACCAGCAGGAGGTTTGCGTGCATGCTCGCCTCTCGCCTACGGCGCCCAGGCCCTGCGCAGCCCACGGCCTCAGCCCGGCAACTGACGTCCCCGCGCCGCCTCCCCGGAATCGGTTTCCGCAGGTGTACGGCTATGCGTTGTATAAGAACGGCCGCTATGCATGCATCAAGTATCCAATGGAGGGCCTTGGGCCCGACGTCGCCGGCCGCAGCTTCCACCACGGCCGCTTCGTACAGCAGCTGCGGTACGCGGCGGCGGGCACGGTCGGCGTCACCGCGCGCGAGGCGACGGTGCGGCGGCTGCTGAACGGTGCGCTGCGGCGGCGGGGCGGCGGGGGGCGCGGCGGGGCGCAGTGCATGGACCTTGAAGCTGGAGGGTTGCCTATGCATCATGTCACCTTGTGCCTGCTGCTGCAGCTGCTGCTTTTTACGCCTACCGCAGCTGTAGCAGCAGCAGCAGTAGCTGTAGCAGCAGCAGCAGCAGCAGCAGCAGCAGTCGCTGTGGCAGCACTAGCTGTTGCAGCAGCGACGGCGGCGTTGCCCTCACTGGCCCTGGCAAACCACCGCAGACGCGCGCTGCCACCCATCGCCTTTCGTCGCCGCCGCAGACCGCGGCCTGGACTGGTCCGAGGGGGAGCCCGTGAGCGGCGTGCAGTACAAGACCGGCGACGGGGAGGTCCGCACCGCGCGCGCACACCTCACGGTGGTGTGCGACGGCATGTACTCACAGTTCAGGTGCGGAGGGGCAGCGGCGGCAGGGCCGGGGCAGTGGCAGGGCTGCTGGGCTGGGGCGGCGGCGGGTGCGAGGTCGCAGCTTGTTGGGGGTGTGTTTGGCGGTGGCGGCCGAGGGAGGGTCCAGTCGTGTCCATGTGTACAGGCTTGCTGCAGGGGTGGCAGTTGGGGGGCCCCAGCTGGGTGGGGGAGGGGGACAGCTGGCGCCTTGACTGGGCCAGTGGAGCGCGCAATCAGCAGCGCAGCCGGTGCAGCGCGTCCTGGAGTTGTGGCAGCAGCAATGGCGGCCGGTGTGCGCGGTCGCACGTCTGGCCCCCCCCCCCCCCGGGCACGCACAGCGTGATCTGGATTGCCTGCTCGCCTGCCGCCTGCATGCTGTCTCGGCAGCTCATGCAAACGTCACCAGGCTCACCCACGCCCCAGGCAGCATCCTTTGTCATCCTCCACACGGCCGCCTCCCTCGTTGCGCAACCCCTCCCCATCACGTCCTCGCCACCAAGCCTCTCCCTGCTCTTGCCTTTGACGCACCACCCCTCCACACCCTGCACCCCCCTCCTCCACCCCGCCTCATCCCCTCCCATGCCCCAACCCCCCAGGAAGCAGCTGGCGGACCCGGACATCAAGCACCCCTCCTATTTTGTCGGCCTGCTGCTCAAGGGCGTCTCCCTGCCCTTCCCCAACCACGGGCACGTCGTGCTCGCCAAGCCCAGCCCCATCCTATTCTACCCTATCAGCTCTACAGAGGTGATTGGCAGGGACGGGGGCCCCTCCCTCTCCTGTCTTTCCGCTCGGCGCGCCTCTGCCGCAGCCGTGCGGCGCCAGCAACCCAGATTTGGGCGACCGAATCATGCAGTTGTTGCGACGCTCCTTGATAAACCTTTTTACCCAGACTGACACGCGCGCGTGCGCGCGCGCGTGCGCACACACACACACACACACACACACACCTGTCGGCTAACACCCCAGGTGCGCTGCCTCGTGGACGTCCCCGGCGCGAAGTTGCCTGCCGACCTGCCCGGCTACCTCCGCACCCACGTGGCGCCCGAGGTGCCTCCGGAGCTGCGGTCGGCGTTTTTGGATTCCCTCGATGGCGCCACGATCCGCACCATGCAGAACAAGCAGCTCACGTCGAAGCCCCTGCACCAGCCGGGTGCGCGGGGCGGGCGCATCGCGCGCGCGGCAGCGCCTCTGCAGCTCTCGTCTTGTGCGGTTGCATGAGCATCCAACGCTTGATTCGCTGCTGTGGGGCGCTACTTCCGGGTTTGTTGCCAGCCGGCGCTGACTAACCACCCCCTACTTGCGAAACATTACAATCCATTAACATTCAATACACCCTCCGCTCACCCTCGCTTGTCATCTTCCAACACCCTCCCCCCTCCCTGCTCTCCCGCCCAAAGGTGCCCTGCTGCTGGGCGACGCCTTCAACATGCGCCACCCCCTCACCGGCGGCGGCATGACCGTGGCGCTGTCGGACACGCGGCTGCTCTGCGAGATGCTGCGGCCGCTGCCGGACTTCCAGGACGCGATCGCGACCGCGGGGCGGACCGCGGAGTTTTACACCGCGCGGAAGCCGCTGTCGGCGACGATCAACACGCTCGCCAACGCCTTGTACAAGGTGCGGCCGGTTGCACGCCGACGAGCGGGTGCACTGTATGCAATCATGACACGGTGTTTGGAGGGTGTTTGTGGTGCGCGTGCGCGCGTGGGGGAATCTCACGTTTGAGGGAAGGGCTGGAGCGGGGGCTGCGGGGGGAGGGATTGTGCAGGTGGGTGGAGGCATGCACCCAATTGAATGTGTACTGCACGGCGGGGCGTCGAGCGCCCGCTTTGCGGCCGTTCAGCAGCCATCAGCAGCAGCCGGCTGCCCGCCCTAGCCGCCCCCCTTCGTCCACGAGCGGCCCCTGCAGAGCAGCCCCGCCTCGGTCTCAGCCGTCTCTGTGCCGCTCTCTCACGGCCCGCGCCTCGAAACGTCCCCGGCACCGCCCTCCCCAAACCCCAGGTGTTCTGCGCCACGGGGGACCCTGCCCAGGAGGAGATGCGCTCCGCCTGCTTCGACTACCTCACCCTCGGCGGCATCTACTCAGAGGGCCCGATCTCCCTCCTCTCGGGCCTCAATCCCAGCCCCTCAAACCTCGTGATGCACTTCTTCATGGTGGCGCTCTACGGCGTCGGCCGCCTGCTGCTGCCGCGGCCGACGCTGCGGGGGCTGTACATGGCCGTCGCCCTGCTGCTCAGCGCCTCTAAGATCATCCTGCCGATCCTCTGGTCGGAGGGCCTGCGGGCCGTGTTCCTGCCGGCTCTCGCGCCCAAGCCGCTGGAGGGGATCCGCAAGGTCGCGCTCAGCCGCAGCGTCAGCTCTCGCAGCCTCGGGTTCGGCGCGTGAGCGTTCGAGCGCGTGCGCGGCGCCGTTCGCGCGGCGGGGCGCCCGGCGGGGAGGCGGCCATCGCGTGGCCGGCGTCCGGCCACGGCGCAGGCGGGCGTGCCGTGCGGGCGCTTTTTCAATCCCCTTCTTATTTTCATTCTGATTCTCCTGCCCTCTATTGCTGTTTGCTGTTGGTTGGATCGGCTCCGATCGATTGGCGCCGGCCCCGCCGGCTCGCTGCCGCGTTATCCCGCTGCGTGGGGGCGGCCGGAGAGGGGCGAGGGCGCAGTTAGTGAGCGGCTCGAGAGGGCGTTGACTGCCTTGTACATACACACGCGCACACACGCGCGCGCATGCGCGCGCACGCGAGCCGCCGCGTCCGCTTGACCCCGGGGCGGCCCCAACGAGGGCCCTCGGAAAGACAGTCGAGAGCTCGAGCGGACGAAAGGCGGCCTCTGCCCGCCCTCGCCGCACGCGCGGCCCTCGTGCCGCCGCTGGCTTGGGCAGTTCCTGCGGCCGGGGCAGCCCTCCAGAGCCGCCCCCCTGACCTGGCCCCTCGCCTACACCTCGTGATTACATCATGTCTGTTGACTGTTGCCGGCCGCCGCTGCCGCTGATCCCGTTTTGACCCCCGGGGGCCGCTCGTCCGGGCATCTCCCTTCCTCACCGCTGAGAGCGTGCACATGCACTCTGTTTGGGGGCCGCGTGCTCTCCGATGAATATGGAACCCACTCCTGACCTCTCTTTTGGCCCCGCGGCAACCGTGGCCGCCGCCGCCGATTGCTGGGCGCGGCGCCGGCCGGAGCCGGCTGCCCCAGGACAGGGCGTAGCTGCCCCGCTCAGCCAGTGGTTTGGGCCGTGGCGCCCCCCGCACCACACCCGCGCCTCTCCTTGGCGGCGCGTTTGATTTGTTACAGGCGCGGCCAGCCGCCCCCGCTGTGCATGCGCGCTGGCAGGCGGGCGGCGCGCGGCGCCGCGCTGCGCCTGCCTCGCCCCTGCTTGACTGAGAACCTCAGCCGCCGCCGGTCTGTGCTGCGGCGGCAACCCCCATTTCCTGATCGCACCAGATTCGCTGCAAACTGGGTAACGGCTTTTATATATCGTACACTCACAACCTCTGGCACTTGGTTGGGACGGGCACAATGCACGGGACTGCATACAGTGGCTCGATCCGCGTTGAAACCCCTGCTGCCAGCTGCACCACCCTCGCGCACGCGTTACCAAATGGCGCCTGATAAGATGAGATGGCTGTCATGAAAGGGGAGCTTCCAGACGCAAAATGATCAGGGCAGGGCAAGCGCGGGAGCGAGAAACATAAGCCTGGGTGGCAGGCGGCGATGGCCCAGGGGTCTTGGCCCCTCTCGTTGCGTGCGACTCCCTCTGGCGGCATCGCCGCCGAAAGCAGCGGGTCAAAGGTGGCCCGCATGTGTGGGCAGACAAAAAACGCGCTCAGAAGCCCTCAGAGGGCAGCGTCTGCAACACGCAACACGCAAACATCGCGCTTGGCGGGGGCCCCGACCATGTCCGCGGAGACAGTACCAACCTCTTTTCCGTCGCCGTGCAATTTGCCCTTCATCCCGGTAGCGGTGCGACGCCCGCCAAAAAAGCGCGCCGGGCGGCGGGCACGGGAGAAACCGCGTTGCTGCCGCACACTGGGCAAGAAAGCGATGGGACGCGCCTTATATGGCCTGCGCCGTGCCATTGGCTGCACCACAGGGGGCAACGAGCAGTTGAGACAACGTAAAGCCGGCAGCAACTGCCTTGGTGCAGGTTGAAAAATGGCACAGCCAAGCCCCTCGGAGCGGGTTTTGCAAGCAGGCGCACAGGTCACTTCTTCATGCATACGGGTGCGCCGCAAATCGGGCGAGAAAGGAGGATCAAGCAGCGGGCAAAGCAGGGGCCGGCGCGAGGATGGATGGGTTGACAGTCGTGGATGCGTGGGCGGTGTCGGGTACGGTCGCGGCTTGGCGTCCGTCTTTTGCTGCAGCAACATGTTCAGCAAAGTGTTGACACATATGCAACAGCCGGCGCGGCGGTCTGGATCAGAGCGGACACAGAAAGGTGCGGGCCTTGCTTTAGGAGTAGACACAGCAGCTGAGGGGGCGCAACGGAGCGGTCCGGCGCGTGCGGGGCGGCAAAGAGGCCCCGGGCGAAACGCTGGCCAGCGTTTGTGATTGTCCACGCATGAGATTGTGCACGCATGCGATTGTCCACAGGTGTGATTGTCCAGACTGGGGTCATATAGCGGAGCCAGGGCAGCGGCGCGCGGAGGGACCCTGAAAGAGGGAACCCCGCCGCCACGCGTGTGTGTGGTCAAAGCCGCGCCGACCGATCGGGCGAGAGCGCCCTTGTTTGACGCTGGCGGACGGGCGGCAAAACGTGCGGCGAGCCCTGCGCCGCCGGCGCCGCTGCTGCATCAACTCAGAGCAAGCGGGAGGGCGGGCGGGCGGGCGCACCAGTTGAGGCGCGAGGGGCCATACAGTGGCAAGCTTGAATGGACGCTAGGCCCTGGCAGAGTGGCGGGCTTTTGCCTTTGGCACGATGTAAGTGGACCAATCGCGGCCCGCCGGCGGTGGCCAGGGCCGTCCCGCGCGGCGGGCGCTTGGGTTAAGCCAGGGGTTGCCGAGTGCAACTGCAACCGCGCGCCCTGCGGGCATGCAGGGGCGCGCTCAAAGCAGGCAAGCAGCGGGCGCGGCAACGGTCGTGGCGCGGCGGTCGCAAATCGCGTTGATCCGCGATTTCCAAGCCGCCGTCCTCGTTGGTCTAGGGATAAGCATCAATAGTATCATGGGGAACTTTTCCGCCCTCAAAAAGCAGCGCAGAGAGATCAAGCCGTGGCAGGCCCGCCGCGGCGCGACCTGAACGGGCCGGCCGCGGGCGAGCCAGCGCCGACGAGGGCTCCAAAGGGCAGCTGCCAGGTCAGCAGGAGTGCAGTAAAGGGGCAGCTGCCAGGTACGCAGGAGTGCAGGAAGAAGGCGCGAGCCTGTGGGTGACAAGGCCTGTGAGCGCAGCCGAGCGCTAAGCCCTGTCAAACCCCAGGATCGTCCCCCTGCAAAAGGGGCACACCGGGCACGCCGTCGGCGCCTTGCCGACGGCGCCGACGACGCCACGCGCGCACGCGGTGCAGAGCCTGTGGCCGCAGCCGCGCAGCAGCGCAACAGAAACAGGGGGCTCCAGGCAGACGCCGCAAGTCGACTCATCATCGTCGTTATCGCTGGCCGCATCAGCGCCGCCGCAGGCGCCGCAGGGCGGCGCAACCTCGGGCAGATCGAACGCGGCGATCAGATCGGCGTCACGGCAGCCGGCCGAGCAAGCGCTGCTGACTGACACCTGCAGCAGCGCGCCCACGACAGGGGACCGAGCCGAGCAGCTGCCCTTGCCGTCGGCGACTGGGGAACACGAGCCGGCGCCGCCGCCGCCCCCGCCGCCGCCGCCGGCGCCGCCCTCGCAGCACCATGCGTCGGCGCAGCTGTCCCCGCCAAAGCTGCGCGGGTGCTCGCCGGCGCCCGCGCAGGCGGTGCGCTCCTCGTCGCATTCACAGTTTGACGACTGGGCCGCGGCGGCCGCGGCCTCGGTCTCCAAACCGTCCAGGTCGGCGATCAGCCCGGCCCGCCAGGCGGCAGAGGCGATCGCGCGCAGCGTCGGTGGCGCGCGAAGCCTGCACACGGCGCGGCGC